ATTGTGGAAAACACCCTTTTTTTCCTCTTACAAATCAAGACTTAGGTGCAGGTTCTGTGTTATCAGAATCTCAGGACAAGGAGGCTGCAGCAAGGGGGGGAGCAGACTGGTAGTAATCAATTCTAGTTCGGACGTGACTGCATTTACCATTTTTTTTCCTGGTCAATTATGCAGGAAGCCTATCAGTTATCATCCATTTTTTCATTAGTAGTTGTATTTTTCTAACTATTTTCTGTCACAGGAGTTGCTCCTATGGCAACACAGGCTCTAACATTCATTCCTTGAGAGTGACCGCAGTGCTGCGAGTGAAAGACAATCGAGTGGGGCAGTCGACATCTGTCCCCTATTTTCCCTTCGGAAGGAGTCCAAGTAATTGGCCAACTAGTTTGATTGCCAAGAATTTCAATATTAAAAATATTTGCATCTATGATCAGTCAAAAGCAATACGTACAATTTAAGACAAGGAACAGCAGGTGACATATATGGAAATTTTCTTAGTACAGTTCTTAAAAAAAAAAAAAAGCTATAGAAATATAGATGATTACAGCATTCCAGATTTTATACTACTAGATGTTAAGTATTGAGAGAATAATACCAGTTACATTTGGAAAGGTTTGGGACCTTTTTTTGCTTGGTTGGTGGAATTTTTACTTTCTAAAGATGTTAAATTTGCATGCTGTCTGCCTTCCTTCTTCTCTCAAAATGTTGAATTAATTGGATAATTCCAAAAATTATTTTTAATAGAAGGCTGTAGTTTCTCAAAAAATAATAATTTTAAATCCAACAGAGCACAAAAATCCTTGCAAGTATCCTTTTGGGAAAAAAAAAAAACAAAACCAAACTGTTTTCAACTACACCAAAAGACATATTAGAAAATCTTTTGATATGGAGGAGAGAATTTTGATTAGATTTCATTACTCATTAGACAGTAGAGAATGTAGCAATAAGAAAAAGCTACAGAAAAACAAACTTCATTAGTTCTGCTTCTCCAGGATAAACTTGTAAATCCCTTAAGTTTTGGGTTGATTGGTTTGGTTAAGGATTTGAAAAGGCAAAGGAGAAGAAATTAAACATAGACTGTGCGGGTTTAATGAGGTTATCTTTCAACCAAACATTATGTGATATTTTTTTCAAAGCAACTGCTGTGTGAATATTCATTTACAAGTGTATAAAAATGTATGTATAGAACACTAGTCTGTAATTCTTTGGATGGCCAAGAAAACTATGCTTGAGAAAATTAAAATTAAGCATCTTCAAGAGTCTATTCAACTGAAAATTGGAAAGAATAATTGCTGCAACATGCTTAGGAGACTGATCCCTCAACCCCTGCCATGCCAAACCCATTATCACCCCAAAGGGGATAATAACTGTCATGCCTAGTCTCGAGCTGGAGTACGTTTGTTAGTGCACTGACTGATACAGAAAACAAGGTCCAGCATAAGAGATGCTTCACACTAAAGTGTGCTAATGAATCAAAGCGACAGGAGAGAGTTTTAACCTTCACAGAGCAAAGGAGTTGTTTGCTAACTAGTCAAGTAGAGGAAATAAGAGCCTAACAAAAGCGACATTTGTGCATGCAAGGAAATAAAACAAAGCTGTTTGGGTTTTTTTTTAAGTTCATAAATAATAGCTGGGCCATCTTGTGCAGAAGGAGGAGACATAATTAGTTCCAGGGTGGAAAAAAAGGAATCAATCTGGACACCTCTGAAGTCTCTTGGCCATGACAGTGAACTAGATCACACCTAAGGGATGGTATTGGTGAACAAATTCCCTCATCAGTAAGCTCTCAGGTTCAGGCTCCAAAACAGACTCTCCCTAAAGGGAGGACCTGAAGGTGAAAGGCAAGCACAAAGAAAGAAATCTAGACTGACAGAAGTTCAGCAGGCTAAGGAAAACATTTTGCAACCTATACTTCTGCTGCACAGATGGCTCAGTATGTGGAGAAGCCGTGGGTACAGGCACCTTTTTAACAAGGTTTCAAAGAGCATTAACAGCGTTCCCAGACATTACAATAATAGCGAACAATACTTGCTCTTTTTTATTAAAAACAGCTTAATGTTCAGTGTAGCAGTGTACTGAAATCGATGTTTCTTTTCCTGCCCAGAAAGAAGTTATTCTCCCATACCTGCTCCTTTACCTTTTCACTTCTATTCTGTAGCTTCCTGGTTTTCTGTGCAGGCTTTTTACTTTTTACAATGCTTGTAAACTGTCCTTCAAGACTTGGGTTGTGTGTTTCAGTTTTAGGTAGGTTTACAGTTCTGTATTTCCACAAAAAAGCCTCCTGTTCAGAGATTGTTCTTCAGTTCAAGATTCAAAATTTCACTAGGTACAAACCAATCAATTCTGCTATATATGTGAAGTAGATGTGATATACCTGGAAAGCCTGTGAGCAACTGTGTGTTGTGAACATTAGTTAGTTGTGAACATGACAAAATTCAGACCAACACATTCTGAGTGCAGCACACACACTGCAGACCTTATGAGTCCCAGAGACAAACTTTCTGCACATATTTCTGTCCAGGGAATCCTAGCCAAAACATGGCAAGCCTAAACGTAAAACTTTCAAATGCTGTGAGAGAGAGAGGTACATTGATACCTTTCACATAAAACCAAAAAATACATTTGAAAGCAAGTATAAGAAGAGATTTATATCCCCTCTTCCAGACCTCTTCCAGAAAAATTTTTTCAGTCGTCTTATTTGCCTGATAAACAAAACCTGTAGAACACATCTCAAAGTGGAATATCCTCTGGCATTGTTAGTCCAAAAAACTAGAAATAAATATCAGGAACAAATCCCTGGTTTACAAAGGTTATAGGATGACCACGATTTTCTCCACCAAGGCAGCAGACAAGAGAAATTCTGTGATTCCACAAAATCTAGGCAGTTCTTCCAGTCCTTAATTTTATTTTATTTATTCCAGCTCTCATGCCATGGTACCCTATAGACATCCCTCCTTACTTGCTGTACCAGTTCTGTCCTTTGTTCAACCACCTTCTCTTCTTTTCTTGTGCACTTCTAGAAACAACTTAAAATTCAGCTTTTATTATGAATTCATGCAGCTAAGGTCTGAATTGGTATCTATTTTCTTAAGTTTTAATTAAAAGATTTCAGCTTCTGGAGTTTCTCAGATTATAATGTTATGGTAAAAATATATAAAAATAGTAAATACAAGAAAATCCAAGGTCAGAAGTGTTTTAGTCTTAGTTTATGCCCAAGGAAAATAAATGCAAACTGCATAAAGGGAAGAAATATAGAATATAATTCCTGTCATATGAGGGATAATAGTTTCATTTTAGTGAATGCTGAAAAGCCACAAAGCACAGCAATGACCGATTCAGCAATAACTTTAAACGGTAATGGAGAAAAATGGAGACAGATAAAAAAAAGCCATTCTTAAGAAATTAATCCCCTCTCCTCTTCACCCTAATGAAAGTTATATTCCCACTTTAAAAAAAAAAAAAAAACTAAAACACAAGTCTGCTACAAGTCAGAAATGAAGTAACAATTACTTAGACATTTTCTTCTAACCAAAACCACACTTTTCAGTCTTCAAGGGATCATTTGTCCCTGAGACAACCACTCTGCTCAGGCCAGACTATAGGTTATTGATGTTGTTTATGGAGGTGGGGGAGTGATTCCATCTGTCTGTGATGGGCACTGCAGGTTCTGAAGAGAAAACAGTCAATCCCAAGCAGTTTACTGATAGAATGCTCTCTGAAAGCCTGACCTGGACAAGCTGAACAGCTACCAGGTAACTGCTACTTACAGCTCAGTCTCAGCAACTGATTTGTTCACGATAATCATCTTACACAGATGAACCTTACATTGTGGTTTACGTGTGTGTGGGATCTCTATGTTATCTATGCTAATAAAACATTAATCAAGGGCCAAATTTATAGCGGGCATTTTGTAAGGAAGGTCAAGACAGGTCAGCCTCACATAATAGGAAACAACTACAGGCTAGATCTTAACACTGTAACTGAACACCCTTGTTACTTTACCTTGGCCCTTGGGATCAAGACTAGTAGCAAAATGTTTTTTCTGTCTGAGAATGGTGTTTCTCCTACCATAAACTGAAATGTAACCATCAAAATGGTCATTATTTTTACGTATCCACACATTTTAAGAGAAAAATTCTCAAAAAGCCATTTTCCCCTTTCCTACAATGATAAAAAGATATTTATATAGCATATTAACTTATGTGATAAATGATTTTGTTTTGAATTCAGTAGCTGTTCTAGTCATGTAAAATTTATTGTCTATTGGGATTCTTATGAGCTGAAGTTACTAACAGAATTTAGGTTTAAAGAAATGGCTTTTCTTATAGCACACCTTAGCTAATTCATTAAGACACGTTTAAAGAAGTCCTTAGAAAAAAGTAAATATTGCTCTTGTCTGCCTCAACATTCAATTCCTAATGAAGAAAATACTGATGGTTCTGAATAGTCACTACAAGTCAAAGAGCATGGTCTCATCACCTGCTCTGTCATTTTCTATAAGTTCCAGTAATACACATATAAAGTTATGGCTAGAGCATAAAACTAATTGGCAATATTAACAGAATTTTTTTCCTTAAAGGGACTCCTTTCTATTTTATGAGGTAGATCAGAAATGAATGAGCAAACTGGAATCTAATTTTTGAAACAGAGGCTTATCTTACCATTCCTAGCTATAATGTCTCTCAAATATCAATTCCCTTTCTCAAGAGATTAGCTGAATACAAATTATAGTTTCAACATTAACCAGTACACAAAGACAGGAAGAAAGAAAATCCATGAGACACAGATAAGCGAAATATTTAATGTCACTAAAGAGCACTCAGATTCTGCAAAATCCCGTACTCAGAATGGAACCAAAGTACTAAAGAATATGAAATCATGCCTGTGGAGCTCAAAGAAAATGACACAAAAAGGAAAAAGAAAAATTATTTAAAAAAAAACTCAAGCCACACAAGTTCCTGAAAGCTAAGACTGAGATTCTATCAAAAATTGTGACTTACCTTCCTTCATTAACAAGCTCAATAAAGGCAAGGCCAGCATTCTTCTGTATAGAGTTTTGCCACTCCTGGGGGGGAAAAAAGAAGAGAAAACTGTAGCCGCATAAAAACAAAACTAAGAAGAGACATTTTCAGCAACAAAAATCACACACTTTCTTTTCAGTTTTAGCAACTTACACCAGCAATAGCAAACATACAAGGCATTAATTGTGTGCTAATCAGGAAGAATGAATGCCATCATGAAGGAACAGGACAGGATTGTTTACTCAAGGTCATATTCTGTTGAGGGGAGAAGAAAATACAAAAACATCCCACAAAGGACTCCGTCATTTTCTTTTGCTATGTTATGTGGTAATTCTGAACTTAGCCCAGTTCACTGATGCTTTTTGCCTTATTGAACCCTGATAATGCTAGAAAGTTTTTACATTAATTCAAGGCTCATTCTTCAGACACAAACTTCTCTTATAGCTTCAAGTCTAGTTAGCATATTTGCTGAAAATAATCCTCACTTCAGCATCCCATAGCCACCTCTACTCATAAAAAATATCTGTTAACAATACAAATATTGCACCATTAACACACAAGTCTGTTTCAAAAAAATTTAACATATTTTTGACACACTGAAATGATGGTAGGGGCAGACACACATGCACTGCACATTCCTTAAACGCAGCCGAACTCTGAATTACCTCAAAATTCTACACCTCTTAAACACATAGGTGGGTTTTGGCTGGCCCCCATAAGAGACACAGTGGAAAGAAACCAACCCAGCTGACCTAGCACTGGGGCTTTTTTCCCCTCATTTGAAAGCTGAGGAGAAATGGTTAACAAAAACACAAAGTAGATTTTCAGTCCTCGACCAAATAGGAACAAGTTGACCGAGTTGGAAATTAGGGTAGTAAATGTGTAAACCTTATATTTTGGCATAAATGTAGAGGCATTTGGATAAAACAGGACCAATACAGCTTTGATTTAAATTCTACACCTTTTCTAATCTAATACAAAAGACTGATTCTGCAGCAGACAGATCGTTAAGTTCCATGTGCAGCTTCCTTAATTCTTTAGGCCTTGTTGTACAAAAAAATAATCCTAATGATTATCCACATCAGTACTTCTATCACTATGGTTCTTTTCAAAAACCTCATCAGCTCCAAGGCAGGCAAAAAGTGCAAAACTGCAAATATGTCAGACTTCAAATTTCAGATTTCTGAAAGTAGGTGGTTTTGATATGCAGCGTCATAGTACAATTTTGCTGCTCAGTGTTGCAGAATTATCTCTCAGTCAGTGACACAAAGGTTTGATCAGACACACACAAGAGCCACTAGAACAATGTTGTTTGTTTACAACTTAAATCCTGTCCACTCGCCCCACCCAAAACAGATTTCCAAATTTGAAATGCATTGAAATGACTGTAACTGATCTCTCGAGGCTTGACGTGTTCCAGGCCCAACACATTGTTTGACCACGTTCAAGCTGCAACAATGCAGTACAATTTTCAAGGAGCCAGAATTAAAAGTAGAATAATTGGAATTTGCGATGCATTCTTCATCATGAATTATAAATGTATTTCATTACTTTTGATGTAACTAGTTTATATGTATTAATAAAAAAACAGCATTCTAAGCACCAGCTAAGTTCTGCTTTACATATGGGGTTTTGGGGTTTTTTGAGGCTACATCAAGAAGTACCATTGGTCCTTATTGCTACATATATCTTACCAATATTTCTCCCACCATCCTTCCCCCAGTTCTCTCCTATTACCTTCTTATGGCCACCACTGATGACTTTGAGTTAGCCTGTAACTGCCTGAAGCGTTTTTAAGAAGCATTTATTCCAACAAAAAAAAAAGCCTTTTAGTTTCTAATATTCTACACAAAATAACATATGCAAGTACTCCCTATAAAAGTTTTTTCAATGTATTATCAGTTTCCAAATATTTAGCTTCACATGATGATAACAAACCATTCTGTTAGTTTAAATGTGAGAAAACTCAAGAAAAGCAGAATAATTTTTCCTTTTCTGACAGTGTCCATCTGCTGTTCCGCTTTTTAAAGAACTCACAATAACACTTGAAAATTTAATTGGTGAAGATGGAGGCTGCCAAAAGTGAAAAGAAAGTGCATTTATAATGATACTTTTCAGCATTTTTCTCTATATCAGACATCATCAAAGAAAGTGTTAGTCTAAACAATTTCATAAGTCACAGCTGAACGCACCCTAAAGCTAATTTTAATAGCTGAAAGAAAAGACTAATGGTCTTCATCTTTCATGATCCATTCAATATTTCCCCACAGTATATGTTCACTCTCAAACAATTACACTCAGTATGCATATTGCATTATTATATCAACATCTTAGTTATCCATCTCCCAAAAGTATTAGGGAAAAAACATGTTAAAAGCTTCAAACTCAACCACTAATGCAACTAAATAACTACAAAACACATTTCAGCACTTTCCTAAGGAAGGACTGTAAGGGAAGATCAACAAAGTCAATAATTTCATACCTGTTCTAAGCTGTACTTAATTGACCAGCATTTCCTAGGGCTATAAATGTTTAGTAACTGAAAGACATAATCTAATTTTAATGCTTTTGGTCACTGTATACTCAATAGTGAAGCAGGGAAAAAACCAGAAGCACTAAACATTATCACAAATAGCTACAATGAAAAATAACCATTACAACAAAACAAACACATTTTATTCAAATACTACGTCTTATAAGGAGATTTCCTAACTCATTATTGTTTCACCTATTTCCTTAATAGAATCTATAAACAGCTCCACAAGTACTCTAGATAAAATGCAAGTACTATACCCTTTCCTGAAGTGGTGTTTCAAAACTAATCTGAATTATAATTTTGCATAGAATAACATTTTACATTTACTTTATATACAACTCTGCCATAAGCAAAATTATATCCCAGTTCTCTATAGCTTTAATTTCATATCATCAACAAGTTTCATTAACACATTCTTACTGCATGCACAAGGATCATTAAATGAAAACATTAAACAGTAGTGGTCTTAAACCCCTCCTTTCAGAAACTAATAATCTCCCTCAAGGTTGATATCATGACCTGTTGTCCCATTTGAGTCATGTTGGGGTTTTTAATCTATTTTACAGTGGGTTTTTTTAATTAACTCCAACTAATGATCACTCATATGACAGTACCAAGTGCTCTAACAAAACTCATAAATTACCACATTTACTTTTTGCTAGGAAATAGAAACACCAACAAAATGCATTAGACCATAACCAACAATGAGATTAGTCTAGCAAATAGTCTTTAGTAATCGTACCTCCCATTTTATGTCATCGCAGCTACATGTATATGTAGTTAATTCAGTCTTCAGATGCATTTTAGAAGTCTTTTATATTACTTAGTCCTCATATTTCCTTTCTTAACAATAATGTATGTCTCTAATCATATGGCATCATCAGATAAGTGAAGGTCCTTAAAAATTTCTGCCTTGAACTTGATTTTTCCAGTGTCATGTCTATTTTTTTTTTCCATTTGTTTTTGGCTTCCTACTCAGTCTGAGTATCCTTGTTAAGTTCTAACACTTCAGGAGCCTCTTATTTACTCAAACAGACCTGGTCAAAAGCTTTCTCTACAAGCAGTAGGTAGCAGGAGTCAGCTTCAAAACAAAGAATGCCGGTGGTTCTTTACACAAAGGATAAATATATTGATATTGCTCAAATACACAGAAATTGCATCCAATTCAGAAAATACCTTGAGCAAAAAATAGCTGAAGAGTGGAAAAGTATTACACTTGCTTGTCCTATTTTATTCTTTTTGAGCATCTCTTTGTGTCTATAGTTGGAGATAGGACAGACAACAAGCAAGGTGGAGCCTTTATCTAACCCAATATAACCATACCCAAACTGTAATCACTCAAACAAATGCCAAGAAAATTCTCTTGATTAAGATTTTTGTTGGTTTTCAATTTCAAGTGCTTGCCTGTAGTCAGCAAATGGACATATCCCTGCTCACCTGTACATTCTAAGGAAAAAAATATAATCACATTTCAAACAATTATGGCAGGAGGGTTGGACCTAGATGATCTTTAATGTCCCTTCCAACTCAAACCACTCTACAATTCTATGAATTACCCCAAAATATACATTCTTCATATATAAAAACATTTGGAAGACCAACCCACCAACTGGTCTGATGGCTAACAATTAAACATGGATCTTTAGAACAGAATATTTAGAACATTTGCAATATATGAAAACTGTTCTATTCTCAACTGTAACAAACTGCACTACTGCTTTCATTCATGTACACACACTTGCATGCTCCTTAATAATTCCTTTTTCTCAGAAACTTAAAAAAACATCCTTCTAACAAGTTTAACACATTCTACAATTAAGAACTATATCTAGCAGTTGAAACACACACTAATAAGCAGGGGAAAAAAAGGAGCAAATTCTTTGCTAATCCATGCTTCCCATAAAGCTGGTGGAGTTTTATTAATTTATTTTGGTTATGAAACAAAGGAAAAGGATGACTTTGGTACTGACAACTATGAATGGAGCACTAAGGAGTAGGGTGGGAAAATGTGTTAACATATGACTAGGAGACATATTATATCCTAGAGTAAAGGTCAAATCTGCATGAAAAACTTGTTCATAGAGAGATATACTAATCTTTAAGTGCCTAAAGTAAACTATCAAGAACTTTTCAGCAGTGTTTGCACTTGGTGTCAGCACTCTCTCAGCACCACATCCACTACAGGCTTGAATGAACTCAGCAATAAAGAACATATAGTGAAAAGTAGATTATATCTCAGCTGGGTTCTTCATAATTAAAAAAAGTTTGACTGCATGTTAAGCAGAATATCTGCAAACATAAATTACTTCTAAAGATTGAAGCATGCTTAAATTATTTTAATCTACAAAACACCATTGAAAAAAATTAAAACCAACATGGAATTATGGGAAATCATATCTAGAAATTACGTAGCCATTTAATATCAAAATTAGCACATGTCAAGTTATTATGAAAGAGAAACATTTGGCAAAGATGTGACACAAATTAAGACTAGCACAAAAATACATT